AATAGGAAAGGAGATGGACATGGTTTCGACAAGGTTTTATACAGGATGATGACAAACCCTTGTCGAAACGTTGTACATTTGCTGTCATGTTAAACTTATATTAAAGTTTTTCTTCATTACCCATTTAAGCCGTCTCCAGCCATTATTAGTCTCAAAGTGGGTTCCTCGTCATCGAATTTACAGTCTAGGATGTCACTAAATATGCACTTCTTACACCCCATTTAGACTTCTTTCCAAATGATCTCGGGACAGTGAGTGATGAGAATGGCGAGTGCTTCCACCAAGGTATTTCAACAATAGAACAGCGATATCAAGGACGATAGAATTCTGCAATAATGGGAGATTACTGTTGGTTCTTACAGCGTGAAACTAAAAACATACATAAAAGGCGCAACATGTCAAGCAGATACTTTGTAACAAAAAATAAAAAAGTTATACCATTATGAAAGTTTCGAACATAGCCTGAATGTATGTTCAATATATAATCTTATTATACTAACTGCTTTTTAAAACTGTTATTGCTATGATGTATATCCCACAGTGGCACAGCGGTATGTCTGCCGACTTACAACGATAGAAACCGGGTGGGCAGAGCACAGATAGTCCATTATGTAGCTTTATGCTTAACTTCAGACAAACAAACAAAAGCTATGATGTATTGTTTTTAAAAATTCTTAAATGCAATTTTCAATGAATAAATAAATTTATTAAAGAAAAAATTATTTTCCCGATATATAAGAATATTTTGAATAAATGTATCATAACTCGAAACCTAGAAGTGATCAGTAATTTTCAACATAATTGTTTTAGAATCAGCATCGTCAAATTACTCAGAAACAGTTGCATTTTTTTCTAGTAGCAAAGAAAAGTTTGTTGTTGTTGTTGTCTGGTGTAATAATCCAACTAATTATTACTTTTTGGAGAATAATACCCAAAATTGACCTTACTTTGGATAAATAATAATCCAACTGAGCATTACTATGGGATACTAATAACCCAAATTAGACCTTACATTGAACAAATAATAACCCAATTAAGCACTACTTTGGAAGAATAATAAACCAAATTAAACTTTACTTCGGACAAATAATAATCCAACTAATCATTACCTTGGGAGAATAATAAACCAAATTAAACTTTACTTCGGACAAATAATAATCCAACTAATCATTACCTTGGGAGAATAATACCCAAAATATACCTTACTTTGGACAAAAAATAATCCAACTACTCATTACATTGGGAGAATAATGTCCAAAATATACCTTACTTTGGACAAATAATAATCCAACTAAACATTACTTTGGGAGAATAATAACCCAAATTATACTTTGTTTTGGACAAAATCATAATCCTACTAAGCACTACTTTGGGAAAGTAATAAACCATTTTGGCTTTAAATGACCAACTAACATCTCAACTACCCCACTTTAGGCAAATAATAACTCACCTAGGCCTTACTTTGAGCACAAAAGGAAATCGGTTTTTCTTCATATAAATAATTAATCTTACACGTTATAAGTAAGTTATAGAATGTAGTCCAAAATAAACAAATGATCTGTACAACTAATACGTTACCTGTAATGTATAAGTTCTGCTACCTTTATCGTGCCGAATAGAATATCTTGGGTCTGGAACGATCAACGAACTGTCTTTTGATATAAACAGATCTTCTGACGGCTTTTCACGGTTGATTTTTGTCCATAATACCTGTTAACGCACAAAGTTAAATTCATTTTTCGTTTAGATTAACAATAAATCAAACTTAAATTATTATGCCTTGCTTTTCATAGAAACTGGATTAATCTTTACGAGTGAAGGGTCTCGTTCAAACATTAGTTAATAAAAGATGCAAGCTACTTATTTTGTTATACCTTTAACATTAAAGCCTCATATTGACCCAAAAATACGAAACCCTATAATTAAGTCCATCTTTAGAAAGCGCTTGGGTTATAAAGTTTTGTAATTTTATGTCAAATTGATTTTTTTTAACTTACTTGTTTTCTTAACATGATAAATTACATTTTCGGCTGTAATAACACTCATTATAGAAAACTCACTCTGGGGACTCTAACTGCAATTGATGATAACAATCACTCCTTCGGGATCAAAGTTGGCAGAAAAGCTATTAGTCAGTCTACTCAGCTTTAACTTTTGGACATGTTCAAAATTTTAATCTGAGTAGACTAATGATTTTTCTGCCTATTGGTGGTAATTTGGTTAAGTTATTTTTTGTGACTTATTTACTATTACTGACCTTATAATGAACAAGGTTATGGATCCACAAGCAATATGGTGCATACAATGTTTAAAACAAAATTTTTAGAAAGCATATTACAATCGGTAATTCTAAGTTTAAACAAGAAATTCGATACTATTCCCATAAATAATGTGATGTACGTACAGGATAATTTGAAGCATACTCGACGGAACACTGCAGATCAACATTATCACCAATATTAACCACTCTCTCTTCAGTGATATAGGAAATTGCTGGAGTCTGTTGAGCAACAACTGTAAACAGATAGTAACGACTACATCAGAATTGGGACCTTTGTGATATCCATTCAAATGTACATTAATAAGTAACTTGTGAAGTGACCTAGCTAGTAAAGCTTTTTCAACTTCAGTTTTACGTTCTGATGGAAAATAATCGAGCAGTATATATTTCCATTACATAATATCATGTGATTACTTTGAAATCTGATACTGTATTTTCTAAGTATGCTAAATTTTTGAATAGAATTCATTGTAATCTAACAATTTCAAATTTTCAGAATTTTTAGGTATTGTATATAATAACAGTATAATCAACATAACTTTTGTACATAAAATTACTGATATAACTAATTTGACAATATATGTTTATCAAAAGAGGATTTTATAGAAATATTCATATAACTCTCAGATACCGGATAACAAAGGGTCATTGCTAAGTACTGTGTAATAAACAGGACAAATTAAAAGCTTTAATTATATCTACCTCAGCAAACCCCTTAGGAAAGAATGATCTATATCATACTAGACGGAAAGTTAATTCAGTTGTAGTGACAGAAGCTAGTCCAGGCAAAGAAATAAACAGGTATACCAGAAAGGACATATGAGGGAGGAAAATAAGTCTCTAAGCATCATAGAATAGATTTCTGAAGAAGTGATTCTAATAAGTTTCTAAAAAGGATAAAAAATTCTTGAGGAAAAAGAATACGTCTCCAAGCGTCATAGGATGGATTCGTACGAAAAGAATTCTAATGAGCCTCAAAACATCACAGGTTCCTGAGAAAGGGGGGGGGAATGATTTTGTAAGAATCACAGGTTTCGAGAAAGGAAAACGAGCCTCTAAGCGGAAAAAAATAAATAAATAAATAGTGGTCTTGAATTGTTTGTGACCGTCGACTGAAGATAATGGAGGAGAGGTCACAAACCAAAAAGTAATGGAATTATAAAAAAAACAAAAGATTTGGATTGCTAGAAATCTTTCCTGATTCATGAAAGAGCTCAAAGGACAATTGTTTAATTTAGCAGTTTACCAGGAATTCTTCCACTGGTGGCCACTGCGATCTTATAAGTGGAACTCCATCCAGTTGATGAAGAAAGGAAAGGATAATGAAAAAGTTGGTTGAAGTTTAACTTGGTGTGAGTAAAAGAACTCTCGAACTTGAATATATACTGATTAGCCTGTCAGTAGGCATAACTAAACTATCACAGCTTTGCTTTGTACATAACTTTAATGCATGTTTGCCTTTAATTGGGCTTAGCACGATCTGGTGGCTAGGACTCTCAACTTGCAATCTGCGGACTGCACGTTCGAATCTTGTCATCGAGCAAGATCGCACTTTCAGTCTTGGGGGCGTTATAATGTGATGGTCAATCCAACTTTCTGTTGGTAAAAGAGTAGCCCAAGAGTTGGCAGTGGGTGGTGTTGACTAGCTGCCTTCTCTCTAGTTTGGAAAGCTAGCGCAGATAGCACCCAAGTAGCTTTGCGCGAAATTAAAAACAAACAATCAGTTGTCTACAATTCAAAACAACCTATTCATGCAAGATGTCCTAGAAATTTGTTAGCGAAAAGTTTTTAAGATTATCCTAACTAAATTTAAATTTTACGTTTCTTTCACACAAAATACAACTCCTTCAATATATTTTTTATTAATTTAAACAATTTCCTTGATGCACTAATTAAAATCGTTCTTTTAATCGAAAGTTAAGTCTACATAATCATGGTACACTATCTATACAAGATAATTTGTATATGTTGATGTAAGCATGTAAATATATTTACTACTTTCTCAAGTCTCTTGGATGTTTTCTGTAACTAGATATCGTTTTTACATCTCCTTGTAGCTTCTTTTTATCTTTTCTTTTCTTAGTCGTGTTTGTTTCTATGAGAAACTTATGAGGAAAATAAATTTCTACAGATCACCTAAGTGTACTTTGCAATTATGTTGTTTAAAAAGTTTCTAGCCTTTTTTTTTTGCCTTCTCAATAGATGCATAATCACGAACCATTTTGTCTCACAAAAATTCCAGTCTGTCTCAATCTTTTACGATAAAAGTGAAACTTAATGTTAGCAACATACCTGAGTGAAACAAGAAAACAAACATACATAATATTCCTCCTTGAATAGACATCTCGATAACAGCTTAAACTTAGCTGTGCTCCGAAGTAAGTATTGTTAAGTGTTTGCCTTTAAATTTGCAACGTTCTGTGTCGCTTTAAGACGATATAATCGCAACCACTCGGCCGTATTAGTCCGCAATAGATACTTAAGTCTGCGCTTAAAAGTCTCTGGTTGTGAAAACTAATTCTCGTCAAATTGATACTATAATTCTCTTCTTTATTTAACTTAGCAAATATCTTATTTTATCTAGAAATGAAACAAACACTGCATGGATATGAATAACCTTCGGGGTCATCCTAACGACACTGAGTAATTTGTCCATGTCATGTTGTAACATAAATGAAAATACACCTGTGGTAAGAAATGCGAAATAACTGCGTACGTCATGATACTCATGCACATGTCTCATCCAGTAGCTTTGAACACCAACATGTATACTTTTAACCCTGTTTAAAAACAACAAGGTGGAGTATGTTCACACTAGGCATGCATATTTCAGGAAAAATCAGTCATAATATTAATGTTATTGTTTTAACTTGATATCTAACCACACTTAATTGGGCATGCATTTTCCTTAAATATCAAGTTGTTTGTTAGTTTGTTTGTTATTAAGCATAAAGCTACACAAGGGGCTATTTGTACTCTGCCCACCGTAGATATAGAAACCAGAATTTAGCCTTATACATTGTGAGACTTACCCCTAAACCAGCAAGAGGTAGGGGTGGAGGGGCTCGAGAAGCTGAATTAAATAGCTAAAGACTGTTAGGTTTTATTCAAGAAATAACCAAGTAAGATTCTGAAAACAATTCTGAATAAAGAATTTTGATTAATGATTGTTTTCAAGTTATATTGAAGAGAATTTTAAAGAAATTAATTACTTTTTTTTAAATACCCAAAAATATGTCACCATTGAAATATATTAATGATTAAATGTAATTTATCTGCAGGAAACACTAATGTCGCTAGACAATAAAATCAATTAAGAAAACTGTATTTGAAATTATGTTTTATGTTAATTTCTAAAAGTATCAAGATAATTATATACCTATCGAAATATATGATTTACCGTAGTGCCATCTTTCGGCACTTTTCCTCTTTTATTAGAAAGAGATCGATTTTAAAAGTGATATGGGTCTCACTTACTCAGGAAAAGCGACATCAGCTAAACCTCAGAACTCTATCGTACTAAAGAAAGGGCGGCTATAGCGTTACAGCACTTACTAAGAAAATAATTTTAACAAAACAGAATAAAGTAGAGGATGTTATACTAATAAAATCATGTTACGTAAATGCATTCAAAGCCTATACCTTTTAAAACAATCGTATAGATTGTATTCAGGGGTAGATATACAATAGAAATTTAAGCTTGTCAGAGGCAAACACTTGAAACGAAAGAAGGAAACCAAAGTTCAATCTTTTAGAATAGTAAGGTGCCATTGAAAATTCTATAATTCAGTTTCAAGCTCAAATACAACGTAGAATACGTTGTAAATGAAGAGCCATAACTCTAGATAATATCCAACAGTAATCGAACTTTTAAAAGAATGCATCAATTCAGGGCGTTTAAAGAAACTATTAAAACAATATATGATCTTGATGTTTTCGAACTTACGAGCTCTAAAAATTATATATATACATATAATATAAATAAATATTATTATAAACTTTGTTTAACGCAAATGAGTTTATTACGAGGCATTTCTAGCAATTAAATAAAATAGCGACCTATATCTCCAGAATATATCTTTATTGGCTCAATAATTCGCTATTATTGGAAATCCAGTCATTCAATTTCAAGATAATATCCAACAGTAATCGAACTTTTAAAAATACATCAATTCAGTGCGTTTGAAGAAACTATTAAAACAACACATGGTCTTAATGTTTGGGAACCTTACGAACTCTGAAAATTATACTGTTACGACATCGGAGGTCACGTGACGCTAGTAACACGCCACGTGCTTCTAGAATGTTCATGAAGCGTCGGGAGACTACTAGATATGGGGTAGTCTTTTATATATAAGACGGCCAAGAAGTGAAGGGTAGGTAATGAGTAATTGAATGTATGCAGACAGAGAATATTGTTGGGCACGTGAGACGTTCGTTGTGAGTTATAGCGTTGGTTATACCGCGACTGTTGAAATTAAGTGTATTGCAAAGTTGTATTCAGAAAGAATAAACCAGTTTTATTTTTACGGAAAATTAACTAACGAACGGAGACGTAACAATACATACATATAATATAGATAACTATTATTATAAACTTTGTTAAACGCAAACTAGTGTTTATTACGAGGCATTTCTAGGATTGAAATAAAATAACGACGTATATCTACAAAATATATCTTTATCAGCTCATTAATTCGCTATTATGGCTTCGTCGGGAGCTATCAACAACCAGTTGGATTAGTGAACTTTCTGGTTATAAATAGCTGGTGACGAAGCTTTATTACCACAATATTGAGACAATAATGATATATATAGGTTGTTATTTTATTTACCTTACAAGGAATATCATTAAATAAGTTTATAACACGTCATTAGTTCTCTGATAAGAAGTAGTAAATCACAGGAACGTCTTTTTTAATACCTAACTGTATAATACATATATGTTTGTGTTTTTACATAAGAAAATTATATTCTAATTTGGATCACTTCCCTTTGAGAGATGAATGTATTCAATAATATATAAATAAATATAGGTTTTGACGGAAATATTAAAAAAATTAATATATACGAAGTTACATATTTCATACACAACATGATAATAAGGAAAAGTATATCTAACTGATAACAGAAGGCGCGACGATCGATTTTTTCCCCATCGGACTTATCTGTTGGTTTGAATTAATTGTTACTACATTGAATGCATCGTTCCTCCTAGTCATAACTTTATCACTACTGAGCGCTGATTCAACTTTTATCGACTTCTCTACCACAATGTAAACTTTAAAAGAATACAGACGTTTGTCATACGTGTATTATAAGTTTCTTTTCTGTATTTTTACATTCGAACAGTTGAAACTTCAGAGTTATGGTACCTGTTCTCTTTTGTTGAGCGCCGGTTTTCTAGGTCGAATAGCGATGGTCTCAAATGTGCGTAAATCACTTTCATTGCTGGCTTGCAAAATAATTGTGATCTGTAGTTTGATTGGCACTGCACTCCCACCGATGTTAGCGAGATACAGTGTTCAACCTCCGATGTTCTTTGCATCTCTGCTGAAGTGTCCTGGCGGTGGATTTAGAAAACCAGCTCCCAACAACAGAGGATAAGCTCTACCTTTGAAACTTTAACTCATAGAGAGACTGCTGTACAGTTGAATAGTTAACCATGAAGAAAATTGTCATTACGCCAAAAATTAGTGGAAAAATTAAACTCGTTTTACGTACAAACATTGCAACAATATTTTTTTCTCATTTTCACAGATCAGTAAATTTTGTATTTTCAACCTGAACGGAATCCAGTACGACAAAAGGCCTTCAGGCATAACCATCCTTGATTTGAAATACTTTCCAGGATGAGAGCAGCCAGCCAGTAGCAACTGCTCTTAAACCTAATCATGGTTTCAAATTCGATTATCAAATACTAATCATGGTTTGTTTTTAGTGTAAATGGAAAAGCGGACACGAAAAGAAAAGCTAATCCGCGATCCGGATACAAGCAAAGGTTTGTTTGTTTGTTATTAATCACAAAGCTAGACAAAGGGCTATCTGTGATCTGACCACCAAGGGTATCGAAACCCAGTTTCTAGAAGTATAAGTCCGCAGACATACCACTGTGCCACTGGGGGGCTCAAGCAAAGGTACCCAAGGTTGGTTTTAAGTGGCTTGGCAGTACAACGTGTTTATTTGTTCATTCGCTTACATTAAAACAGTAAGTATCAAGGGGAAATTGAAATGGCTGTCAAACTCGTAAAAACAGAAAAAAATAAAAAGTAAGATGTTTTAGAATCTCTATAGGGCATAACCAAAAACTTGTGAAAGTTATATGGTGATCAAAAGTCGGTAACTTGGAAATTTTATATCAAGGACCATCTGTATGTTTGTTGGATTTTGCGCAAGGCTATTCGAGAGCTAGCTGCACTAGCCGTTATTAATTTAGAAGTGATACTCTAGAGCCGTGGGACGCAGAAGTCGGGAAAGGGCGCGAAACTTTTAACTATGGGATCATATAAATTATATTTGAAAGTATAGATTTAAAAATAAAGACGTTTTAAAACCAAGGAACAAATATTATTACTATTAAGTAAGACAGTAACAATAATTAACACCGGAATATTACGGGTGGGGCGCAAAACACATGTTTAGAAGTTTAGAAAAATAATGCACGTCACTGGGCTATAGAGAAAACAGTTAGTCAACACCACCCACCGCCAACACTTTGGCCACCTCCCATGTATACCTTTATAGCTTCAGTAAGGTTATAGCTTTAATAATTTTTACTTCAATACAGTTATTGTTTCAAAAAATTATCACTTCAACCAAATGACACTGTATTATATTACAAGTTACAGCTTTTACAATTTGTTAAGAATATGAGTTATCTTCATATATAAGACAATAAATCCGTCAAAACATCATTTTCAAGCAATTATTTCTACGTTCTTTATCGTTAAAACCTGTACTTAAGAATGATCACACCAGTGATCGAAACGTCGTACAAATCTTACTTACTGTAAAAGCTGGCCCGGCATGGCCAGGTGGTTAGGGCGCTCGACTCGCAATCTGTGGGTCGCGGGTTCGAATCTCTGTCACCCCAAACATGCTCACCCTTTCAGATGTGGGGTCGTTATAATGTGACGGTCAATCCCGCTATTCGTTGGTAAAAGAGTAGCCCAAAAGATGGCGGTGGGTGGTGATGACTAGCTGCCTTCCCTCTAGTCTTACACTACTAAATTAGGGACGGCTAGCGCAGATAGCCCTCGTGTAGCTTTGCGCGAAATCCATAACAAACAATCAAACTGCAAAAGCTCTAACTTGTAATACAATATGATTAATCAGTCAGTAAACTCAAAAGGAAACAAATAACACCATGTACGTTATGTAGCCATTGTAGCGTTATACTTTTCGTTAATATGTTAACATTGCTACAAGACTCTAACGTAACTTAAATGATGAGGTGTTATATTTGTTATTTTTTAAAACTATTAATGATATTATTTTCACTTTCACAAACAACGAATTC